GAATCATCTTAAAGACTCCTCACTGTCCCAGGAAGACTCTGGGGTGCACAAGCAGCAATAATAGGAAGCACCTAAGTTACAGCCATCTGCTCTCAAGCCAAAGCCGAGGTTTTTTTGTGTGTGTGTTTTTGTGGCAGCAGAGAGAAGGGGCTAGAGAAATTTCTTTTAAGATTCTTGCTTTTTTCCCCCTCTATTTATTAGGATAATGAATTTCCGACTGCAGTGCCAGTTCCACTGAGCCTGCTTCTCGGCCTAATTCTCTGTAACATTTCCTCATTGCCGCTGGGGAACATTATATGAAGGCAGGGCTTACAATACCATCAATATGCCCAAGACGACAATCGGACGTCTCATAGATATTAATGGAAGTGCAAATTAAATCAAAGTTGGAGTGCAGCTATCGGGGCTATGATCAATGCCTTTTGCACAGTCAGATTTAATATGGGGTTTGTAATTTGAGTATCCAAACAAAATGTGCATCTTAATGGGAAAGATGAAAGTAATCCCACATGGGGAGGAAATAATACATTAGCTGCATTGTAATTAGAGAACTCAGAGTGCAATGTTTCCCCAGTATTAATGTTGAATAAAAGCCTGATATATTTACGATGTGGAGAAAGGATGTGGACGTTTTGAATTGTTTTTAGACACCTCGAGTTGTCTTAGGCAGCATCTTTTAAAAAAATAAGACTATAACGATGTTGGGTAAATGCATGCGTAGGAAACAAATACAAATGATGAAATAAACTGTCAAATGTTAGAGCAAAAAAAGCAGACTTGTTTTTGTTAAAGCAGTGGGAGCACATCTGTGTTATCACAGTCATAATGAAAGAAAAACACCTCAGGTATGTTTTGATTTAATTATGAAATACTTGATCTGAATATGAAAAATCCCATGTTTTTTAAGCCAAGCCGCTACAACCAAACACAACAGAAGTATGTGAAACATGATTTTGGTAAAAGGTTCTTAATAAATAGTGATTGAGCAAGTCTCCCCGCAAGCATTCAAATGAAATACGATATAATAATGCCTCACTTTTATTTATTGGCAATCCTTCTGAGTACACACACAGCAGCCAGTTAAAGTGACCCCATGTGAAGTCGGCAGGTAGCATGCAGAGAGCAAACAGCAAAACAGCTTTTCAATGAATAACACATGAGCCAACAATCGTTGCTAGACAATGATCCAGTGTGTTCAGCGAGTCAAGTGCAACACACACAATCACGAGAGAACACAAAGAGCTAATCAAACTTGATGCAACCCTTCGTGATCAAAATGAAACAGCAGCTACTAGTAGGCGCCCATGCTTTTGTAAAAGAAAGTTAACTTAATTAAAAAGATATGAGCTTTGTAATAATCTGGGTTTTTCTTCGTTGTAATTTTTGTTTTGAATAGAAACACTCTGACAGTTTGAGGAAAGTGCTTTCGCTTCTTGGCTGACACTTATACGAGAAGGTCAAAAGCACTCCCATGTGTGTATGCTAAATAGCATGCTAGCGCTAGTAAGCCACAGACTATATAAAAGATAGTTTTCAGGTCTAACAAGTGAAGCCAATGTGGAATTGCCTTAAACCTGCATTCTTTCTCTCCTGGCAAACACAAGGTGTCTTCTGTGGTGGCAATAAAAGTCCAGTTGAATCAAACTCTAACCTGGCTCACTTGCTTTATGATCTTAGCAAAAACCTAACATCAAAAATCTCAATAAATGCTTTGTTGATACGATAATGGTCTCATTTACTAGCTTCAAGTGAACTGAATACAATGCGGTGTTTATTTCATAAATTATGATTCCTATTATGTGAAAATAGAACAGTAAAGCAAGGTATGGTTTTGGGTCAGTGTACTGGGCTTAAGTCACTCCAGCCAGGCAGCTCACATGCTTAGGTGTCTTTTTTTCTTCTTTTTTTGTCTGATTTCTATTTTCCACATGCTAAGATGGCAGTGGCAATCAGCTTGAAAAACAAAATTTCTACAGAAAAAACAGGAACTTCACAACAAGATCACTGTGGCTTCAACTTTTTACAAGCAGTTTATGCTAGCAGACAGTTAGCTTTGCGCTTCACAAAGATAGCTTTAGCTTTGTCTGCTGAATATACTGAATATTTGCTGAAAATTTACAATAGGGACCCACTCTTCAGTGTAATGGTACCAATGGTTCACCTTTTATTAACAGTTTATGCTAGCAGACAATTAGCTTTGCACTTCACAAAGATAGCTTTAGCTTTGTCTGGACCTAACAAAACGCCCAACAGTATCACACTACTGATTTTATCAGTGTTATATTTTGTTTGCTAAATGATAAAAAAAAAAAAAATTTAATGTAAATATGATAAGTGGTTGTGTAAAGTGAAGTTAACTAATGCTAATTATCAATTTCTAAAGAAAATCTTTCTTACGGATATGGAAGGTACTGTGTCTACTTCATTTACAACTGAAGACATTTTCTCAACTTTATACTTAAAAACTGAGTGTCATTTATATAGCATTTCAAGTGTTAATAAGAACCACAAAATTTAAATTTTCACATGTATTTTGAATCAGAATTGTTGAATATTTTGACTGCAGTAAGCATTAGCACCTTCCATCATTTAATCAGTCCAATTAAATTGTTAGGGGTCATTAAGTTTAAAGTTTGCACAGCACTCCTAGCCTTTATAACGAGATAAATGTTGACTTTGTTTTGTTGCACAGTCCTATCTCTGATAAAAGCATCAGGGGGAAGCACAACTCAATTTATAAGGGGTAACATTTCATCTTTGAACACTTCACTGAGTGGGTATGTAACAGGATGCTATAATCCATCAATAAAACTGTATTGATATTGTCGAATGTTAATATGTCATCCATAAACCCTTGGGCCCTCTTGTCACCAGGACACAGTCTGCTCAGCAACTCATACTGCCTCATGGTGTTGTTCAAGATCGACCCAGGTCTCCCACTGAACGGCTGCCGCTGTAAAATGTTGCATGCCGTGACAGAGCGGAGCATTAATCAAAGTTGATTTGAAGTGCGAGAGCGCAAGTGCCTTTTTTGTTGCTGGAGAAGTGTTTAGCACAACAGCGCTGTGTACAATGGGGTCCCACTCTTCAGTGTAATGGTACCAAAAGGAGGTCATAAATAATGGATTCAAGATCACTTACACCTCATGAAGCAGGCTATGGCATTCAAAGGGATCATGTTTTGCTGCTCAAATTATGGATTTAGCTCTTTTGGCTGCAATTGTAAAGGAAAACAAGACCTCTCCAAGAGGACTCTGAAACAGTTTAATGTGGTGCAAAACATGACGGAAAAACAACAGTTTATACACTGCCACTAAATGATGACAGAGACTGGTTGGAAAAAGCAGATTATTTTTGCTTTCTGGTGGGATGTCTTGATTTAAAATTCTCTTGGAATATGTCTCATCTTCAACTTTAGTTAACTTGAAAAAAAAAAACAAGATAAAACTTGAGATTTTTAAATTAAATCTTGCTTGTGTTAAATAAAGATTTGCAGATGCAAACAGATACTGCACCTTCCAACCGTTTTGCTCTATCGCCTTTCCACTTCACGTAACTTGTAACAATTATCTGAATCTCTCAACAGCTGGACATGATTACATTTTTAATGCATTTGAAATGTAACCGTCCACTATCACACCACATTTAATTAAAGATATAGGAGTATTTATTCCGTTTTTCTTTGACTGTCACATTGAGCTGTTTGCATACTAGAATTGGAGAGGTCTTCTTGCAATAATCTGCCCACATACATGTAGCAACTCACTGTTATTATCTTTAGATGATAGCAAATAATGTGATAACCCCTTGTTGTAACTTTCTGTCCTTGCATCAGTGCTGCACCTGACTCTATGCTGCCCCTCAGTGGCAAAACAGTGAAACAGTCCTACAAAGGACAAACTCGTGAACAAATTCTACAAAGTCTCACCTCCAGATGCTGAGCCAAAGTTTGATATTTCACCAGAAAATACGAGGATAAGAATCCCAATAATTTCCAATGTGCCAATGCAGCTGGAGATAAATACAGAAGAGAGAGGAGATGATCAGATCTCACTCCATATCTTAATGGGATCCTCTCACGAGCCATTCCGATTAATGACCAATCTCACAATTATGGAAATCAGAGATTGGTCACTAACAGTGAGAACTTGAAGTTGCTCACACAAACAGCAACAGTGTCACATTGCAGAGAGCGCTAATTGGCCACTACTTTTCATGTAATTGCGGCAACCAGGGTCACCTCCTCTGCTAACCTCTCCTTTAAGTATTGTTTTTTTAGCACACAAACAGTTAATGGAGCAATTAAGATGGTTCTCACAAGTACCACTTCTGGGGACCATTTGGCAAGAAAGAGGTAGAGAGAAGCGGACTGGTGACTGCTCGGTCCAACACGCTGGGTGCACGAGTCCTAGGCGAAATAGAGCGAGGTGCAAGACGTGCAAGAACACTCCCACACTGGTGTGACTGGTCACCGATGAAGCAAACATTGTGTAGGAGCAAATTTCTGGAGTTTTTAAGAATTCACAAAATATATCAGTTTACTGGTGCTGTCGGCAACAACATCAAAACTACCTGTTATGCAGGTCTTCTTTGTCATACCAAACAGCGCACCAGGGCATGTGGCTTTGGGTGCCAGGGTGGTGGCAGCTGATCCTTTGGGTCTTTAAGGTAGCAGCCTCTGTGGATCAAGCTTGTTCCTATTTGCCTAATAGACAAATAGGTCAGGTCAGCGCCTTAGGAGTTTTTGTCACATTCTTGTCCCTGAACAATTTTTGCGTTGTGGCACATCTATGGGGAAGAGCCAGCCGCGTTCAGGGACACCAGGATGTCGGCAAACACATGATCAATATTATTCATTTCACATGTCAGTGGTTTTAATATTGGGACTAATTGTTGTACACAGCACTCAACAGCAGCTAATGAGAGGGAAAGAAACAGTCACACACAGTCTTTCACTTTAGCACGCAAGGATAACTTCCCCCAGTTCATTACAATACAAAACCTTTTTACTTTTTATTACCCATTTGTATTTTTGACAGCATTTATCTGTGTTTGTGTTGGAGCAGATACAATAAAGTGTTACAGTCACAGTCATCAGTGTGTTTAAGCAGCATCCAGGGAATAAAACACTGTAACAAAAAAGAAACTGTGATAATTTGGTCTCAATTGAAAGTAACGCTCGGTACTTTCCTGCTAAAAAAATTGGTAATAAAAAAAATGTTTAAAACTCTTTCCTGTATTTAATATTGTTGCTTTATTTTCCTTTCAGTAAAACATTTTCTGCTGTTCTACCACACCGGACATTGAACTAAGCCTACAGTCTGCACAGAAAAAAAACCCCAAACTCCCAAAACTGATCTCACCTGTCCAGAAACTGCAGTTTCATTTAAACTGATATTGCTGTTCAAGTCTCAAAGGGACATAATATGAATGCCACCTATTTTTAATCCCTGGAGAATGAAGAAGAGGGGGGAGGAAAGTTTTCATCTCTTCATCTAACCCTTCTACCACAGACTTTGCCCACCTTCTATGACTAAGTTATGCCCTGTCATGTAGTCAGAGGCATCAGATGCCAAGTAGACCACTGCAGCTTGCAGGTCTGTCACTTGAGCCAGTCTACCAGCAGGAATATCTGACAGCCAGCGCTGCACCAGAGGCCTCAGACTCTCCGAGTGGATGAGAGGGGTGTCAACAATCCCCCTGAAAAGAGAAGCAGACAAAGTGAGAGAGCGAAAGACGAGGGAAAAGCACACACACACACAGACACACACAATGAAATCAGAAGACATCACAGTTCAGAGCCAGGAGTGACAGCGTTGTTTCAGAGCCACCACTTTGGTGACAAAAATAAACCCAATTATCCTTTGCAGAAAGGGCATGGCATGGCATCTCTGATGATATTTACTGTGGGACGGGTGGCACTTTAATGACTGGCACATCTCTGGAAGAGCCCATGGGTACGAGGGGACGTGTGGTATAATTTGCACATAGCCTTTGGTTAAATACTTATTATATTTCCCCATTGAAATGTGCTACTTTGATGCCGAGACAGTATTTAGGCGAAGTTTATCAGAAAACCGCTGCTTTTAGTTTGCTGGTTGCACACTGGCATCTAATAGCGCCGTGTCACAACAAATGCCATTCTCTCCACTCCTCTACAGTCAAATATCACAGAGCTTACATTTGAATAAATATGTCAACATGCCCGCCTGCGCCTAATACGAGACGACTTCTGACTTTCCCCACAATCGCTGTGACAGTGACTAAAAGCCATGAGGCCTGAATCATTGTTCGACGTATCCTGGTGCCTTGATATGGAATTCCTACATTTGGCTAAATTAGCACTTCCAAGGAGCGTGTGACACCTTGGTTAACATATTCCACCTCAATTATATTTCTCTTCAGCTGCCCTGTTATCTGGAACCTTTCCTGGCAATCAGAGGTACTGTTTTCCCTCAGCCAATTTTCTAGATAATGCAGCTTATCACCGCTGCGGCTAAAGTTGCCAATGGAATCAGGCTCCAGTCAACCTCGTGAGCGCTAATTGTGTCCCTTTTTTATGCATATTTACCGACTGTCACTTCAAAGAAATCAGCGGCCCATTGAGACACCCGGTTAGCGCGGGTGGGGGGGGGGGGGGGGAAGCGAATTGCTTCTTTGCAAATTAAAATTAGCAAACAAGCTGCCGATAAATAAAGCTGAGCGTGGCGCGTGTGTGAGGGCTTTGTTCTGGGGCTGTGACTGGGCCCGGCTCGCCCGGTGCCACCGGACGGATTTGCTCAGGGATGGCTGGGGCTAAGAGATGCTTCACTTAACACCCCCCCGCCCCCTCAACCACCACCCCTACCTCCCCTCCCAACACACATTCAAACAGCCCCCTTCCTGTGTTCTCCTCCTTTTTCTTCCTACTGCTCAGCTTCACAGACAAATAGATACAAACAAGGGCGCTATTGTTGCGCCGACACTTGGAGTGAGGTTGCAAATTTGATTCCCTAATTGAACAGAACAATTAGAGCAAGTGTTTGGTTGATTCATCCCTCAAGACGTCATCTAATTAAGCACTGATGCATTGTTTGAGGACTTAAATTAGTGCATCCCCCTCAAACGGGAGCTCTTCATATGAAAGCAAAACGGCGCTAATCACTGCTGCACTCATCGCAGCTTGCTATAATCAAAAGGTGGGCCGCTGTGTTTTGGAGGAAGACGAGGAAGGCCAAAAATAGGCAGTACTTACGGCGAGATGCAGTTGACGCGCACTCCTCTGTCGGCCCATTCAGCGCCCAGAGTCTGAGTCAGTTTGACCACACCGGCCTTGGATGTGTTGTACGAAAGCTGCTTCTGAGGATGGGGGACTGGACAGTGAAGGGTGGAAAGAAAATGAGTTACTGAAAAAAGTCACTGCTGTCCATTTCGGGAAGTGGCACGTGCCATTTAAGAAGGCAACAATTACAGCATCATTAACAGTGGTATGCACTTTTCACATTCTTATTAAAGCCTCTTGTTGTTTTATCATTTGCCTTAACTGAAGAGTTTCCTTCTTACAGAGGGCCAATAGCTTCTACGGTGCACATCCCAGTTCCTGTGGTGTCTTGTGCACACTACATAAAAGCTCTTCCATTAGCTGCTGGGGACTCTGTGGATGATGCTAGGTAAAATTAATTGCTTATAATGTCCAGTTATGCTCTGTCCTCAGCAACAAAGGGAGGGAGCCATTTGTTTGCCTTGACCATCACAGATGCTGCACACTGCATGGGATGCCGGGACAGGGGCTCATTTTCTCCTGGTTGATTAATCATCACAAGGAAGGCTCCAAGTTACATACAACTTTAGTAGTTAACCTCATCACCCGCCGATCTGACTGCCAAATGGCTTCAGTGTGAGACCGGGGATGATAAATACCAGCCAGCTGCGGAGAGGCAGAGAGTGGTCCTGAGGAGAAAAGGGCTGGAGCATCCTGCATGCAATTTAGGGATGTTGGAAAAAAGAAGACAAAGAGGAATAAAATTTGCAGTGTAGGGGTAAAAGCTGGGATGTGTTGAAGACATAACAAGTAAAGGGTGGGACAGGAGGATGGTAGCCAAGAGCAGGGTTCAGCGACGAGATTGCAGAGGAAGGTAAGGTTGGGTTGGGCTGGGCTGGATAAGGGTAGGCTGGGACCTCAGAGGAGCAGGCGAGGATGAGCCGAGCCCAGGGCTTACACGCAGATTGAAGGTGAAATCCGACTTATCAGGACAGGAAACACAGCTCAAAATGCCTAACAGCACTAATCCTTGCTCAAGACCTGATGATACGGCCGCAAAATACCATTCAGAAAATGCCTTCATCCTTTAAATAAACCTGCATTGATGTTTTTCGCCGTCTTAAAGAGCAGTAATCCCCAGAGAAGCGAAAAAGAAGTAGAAGGAGAGCATTTTCCAAAGCCCTCTTTAACATTCACCCTACTTATTGCCCGTTGCAAGTGGGAGAAAACATGCTCTTTATCAGGCACGCCTTTTAAATTTTGAATTCTTCTGAGCAGATAAGGAGTTCAAATGATGTACTCTTTTCCCAGCTGCTGTTGTTACGTCCATTTCTATGCAGGGCAGATCTGCAGGTATGAGTGCGAGAGTCACAAATCCCTCAAGTAAGGTCAAAACCAAAAAAGAAAAGAAAAAAAACCCATCAAGATAGATATTTCCTGTCCGGGTGTCTTTGAGCTGCTGGCCGTCATTCAGAAAAAAATAGTTGTTGATGTTCAGAGAGTGTCTGTGTGTGTGTCGAGGGGGTGTTTGCAGGCCCACGAGCACATTCCATTCAGCAGATGGACAAAAAGCTGTCATTGTGCATTTTAATTGGACATTTACGGCTGCTTTTTGGTCGTCCACTTGGCTAGAACAGGTCCCATCTGATTACACATTATGACAATATTATAACAGATGTCCAGACCAATAAAGTAAATTCCTGAAGGACTGAGCGTAATGCGAGTAATTGATCATTTTCTTTATGCCGGCCTCTATTTACCAGCATGCTCCTGTTTTACAGATTGCCCCTGCAGTCGGGACTGGGGTCCATATGGCACGCCGCTTTACTGGCGATTTGACTATACTGCTGATGAAGTGTTGCAGTTCCTCTGGAGAAACCTGTTGGAGGAGGAACATTACACCGGTGCAGCGAATTACAAGGCTTTTACTAGGCTCCCACTAAACTCTAAAAGTGTCTTCCGCTGTTCAAACAAGGCCGTTGGCACAGGCTGGGGTTTTGCCGCGGCACAGGAACCCTCCCCTCCCAAGTTGGACCTCAGGTTGCCTTCCACATCCTCCAGACAGCTCCGCGGAGAGGGGATGTTTATTATGATGCAAAAATGCCTCGGCGAGATGCAATCACAACACTGCTACTGTATGCAGGGGTGGATGCATCTCTATAGAACTGTTTAACTGGGCTAAAAGTTGCCTAATCCTGTTTTAAAAGTGAACGCTCACCTTAAGTTTCTCATAAACGAAGAAAACTGCTGAAAAAAAGTCTTTGTTTGAAGATGAAAATCTAATGCGATGTGCACTCACCCACATAGCTGTACAGCGCAAATGTATTTAACTCTCCCTTCCTCCCCCTCCTTCACTCTGCCCAACTCTCCACGCCAAATGGAGAGATTAAAAGCAGACATGGAGGGGCTCCAGAGAGAAAGTGGGGAAATAGAATCATCACTCACCTATTAGACTGGCCATGGAAGCTGTGTTGATAATCTTGCCGTACCCTTGCTTCAACATCACTCGACCTGCTGCCTAAGGCAAGGATTCGGAGGGGCGAGAGACACGTTAAACACCTTATTATTAAGGCCCTGATATGCCATGCCCAAAGCTGAGCACAGATCAACACAAAAACATGCAGTTTATCGTCGGAGACGGGAAAACGTTTGGTGTGGATTTGAAAGCGGCACAAAAAAAAAGGGTGGGCGTAGGGGGGGTTGTAGGTTGTACATATAGATGTCTCGCAGCAGCTCGATAATTTAGGACTAAATTTAGTTTCTACAAAGGAGCTCGAGCTGGTTGGACCATTAATTAGGTCACAGTCTTAACTAGTTTGGACAGAAATAGAGTGCTGAAGGAATACGTCACCGAGAATCTGTTTGGCTCTTTTTTACTCATCTTTAACTGGGAATAATTTGTAAATATATTAAACTGATGGATGCATTTTTTTATTTTAACAGAAAATAACGTTTCAGCTATGGGGTGTTTGCATGAACTGTACTCGTTGTGTGTGCAGAATCAGGATTTTTCCCTTTTTGAGCTTTGAAAACAGCAAGAAAACATGACCCGTCACAAAAGGACAGATAATGTGGTTTATGTATGTCAAGTCTTCAGCTGCTCTGTTTTAGATTTGCTTCAGTAAACATGTTCATTCAAAAACTTTCCTATTAGTGAATCTGACTGATCAATAAGTGCACGATTCATTTTGAATTTGTCTCTGTTTATAGATTCGTTTTTATTTTGGAATGGAAATAAACCAACTCTATAAAATTAGTGCAGTGAAATGAGCGAAAGCTACAGTGGTTAAGTACATTTTCTGGCAGTTCTGGTAAACATAAAACTTGTGTGTATGCTACAAAACGGCTTCCTACCCAGTGTTTATCAAAGCAGAGGTGTATGTGAGTGAATCTCTTACAAAACTAATTAGGACTAAATCACTTGGAAAAACACAATACTTGATAATATTTACTACTATTGCAGACTACCCTTGCACAGGATGGGAGGTGATACACACCTGACAGCACATGAAGGTCCCCCTGAGGTTCACGTGAAAGGTTTTGTCCCACTCCTCTAGACTGGTGTCTTCGCTGGCTGAGTTCATGTTGATGCCAGCATTGTTACAACCGATGTGGATCACTCCCCATTTTGAAACGATGGTGTCGATCATCCTCTGGACGTCATCTGACTTGCTGATGTCAGCTGTTATCGAAATGGCATTGATACCTGTTTGAAAGTAACACAGGGGTGTACTGTGAGAAAATTCGGCATTTTAGATTCTTTGACACAAAAAGTAATGCCCTAAGTAATGTGGATATAGTGAGATCACGTTTGATCAAACATTTTATCCTTTAGTATGCTGCCATCTGCTGGTCAAGACACAAACTAATGACAAAATTCACAATGTGAAACTCATTTTGAATGAATAAACGCAGGGCGTGCTTGTTTTCTCACAAATAAAGCCCGGTTTGAAGCGTGCTATTCAACAATGATGCTGTCATAGCAGATTTTCCAGATTAAGGCCAGCTTCACCACTTTGAGGCCAACGTAATGTTGTGACTCTTACAGGTTTTCATTTTAATTTCTGGCTGTCATCGATGTCTTTGAACTTATTGCTCTGCACCGCAAGCAATCTTAAGACATCTGCAGTATTTCGGCTGTCTCAGGGAACAAAGGCAGGGAGACTCCAGGCTGTTCAGCATCACATTCCTTTGGACTTCTTTAACAATTGAGTCACAGCAGGGTGAACAGTCCGGGAAAAAGGAGCAAGTTATGTTAAATCAGGGTTGTAATGTAGTTCTTCTTATTAACTTTAAGGAAAGTTTCAAGGAAAGGAACAACTTAAGAACAACAACCATAACAACAATCAAGTGAGTAAAGAAAGGAAAGTAACCAGTAACTTTTTTTCCTTGATTACTGATTACAGAATGAAACTGAACCACACTATCTTAGGAGTTGTGTATTAAAGCCATCTTAGTAAGTGGACTTCATTCCATATTTAGTGGCGATTCTATCCCTAAATTCTACCCCAGATATAAATTTTGTTGACCTTTAAGTTACGTGAGTGACGTCCAATCAATGAAACAAACACAAATGGAGAATGTAAAATCACAAGTGCGGGGGGGATGAAATTAACTTAATATATACAAAATATATATATATACAATACATACAGAAATTCGAAGAACTTAGATTTGTAATAAAAGTATTTTTAGAAACCTGTACATGTTAATAATCGCTGTCTACGTAACAATGTTCATGTAAAGTCTCACATTGATTGGCTCACCTGTTAAGAAGGAGACATACAGACATATGCCATGATCCTTACAGTATGACTGCCTATACAGCCTATATAACAACCATAAGAATTATTTTAATCTCCAAATCCACCATAACCACACTTAAGATAGCTGTGGCCCATTTTGACATGTGAAAATCTTTTGCGGCCCACCCAAAACTTCGTCCACAACTCTGATCCTTACATGTAGGATGAAGCATTTCTTTGTGTTTTTTTTTAATGATTTTGATCAGACTGAAAATGTGTTTCTTGAGGCTGATAATCTATTAATCTATATATAAGAAGCTTTATTTCTGCTCCATTCTAGCGCTGCCTATCCACTGGCAAGATGCTAGTTTTTTATTGATTTACTGTAAAGGACTTCTCAGTAGTGATGTGTGATACCACTGATTTTCTTTCTGATCCGATACCAAGTAAAATTCAGGGTGGTATCAACGATACTGATCCGATACTTTGTACAAAAACTTAATGTTTTATTGCATTTCAAATTATAGCTTCATAATGATTACAGAACATCAGACTACTTGTTCTTATTGCTTAAAAATGCAGAATTATCATATAGAAATAAAAAACCTGAAGTTGTGCGCTATTTGAACACGTTGCCTGCCTGCAGCACTAAAGGACTCTGTGAGAGACGTCTGTCTCCCCCTAGCAGCACCTGTCCCTCTCCTCCTCTTCACTTTGCCTCAACATAAGCTCATCATATTCTGTGACATGATTTACTTTGAGGTGTTTGACGAGGTTAGTGATGTTGCCACAACACCTCACTGTCTGCCACAGTTATCACAAACCGCGTCTTGGCTGTTTGTGGAGGTAAAATACGTCCATGCATGACTCCATTTACGCTCAGCCATTGTTGTGAGTGTGCACGCCAAGGGGCTGCGACACATTCATACGGCCATATTTCGCACATGACTATGAAAGGCGGAAGAGGAAGTAGTTCCGCTGTGTTCCTGTTAATGATAAACTACATATTTACCCCAAATTACTAAAATATCGATATTTTAATTTGAGAATCAATTCTAGAACATACATAACTGGAATCGGTATTTCAACATCGATCCGCACACCACTACTTCTCAGGGCCAACCTGCAGTACCTTAATAGCCCACCAGGAGGCTGCAGACCACTTTGGGAATCCATTCTCTAAACTAAGATGGGCTGTGAAAAAAAAGGGCATTCAAGTCAGTCCTTGTATGTTTTTTTCTTACCTTTAAGGAAGAGCTCCTCAACGACTGTCTCAGCTTTTGCTCCATCCAGGTCTACCACAGCCACCTTTGCACCAGCTTCACCCAGAGCGTGAGCGAATGCTCGGCCTATGCCTTGTCCAGCGCCTGTCACATAGGCCACCTTACCGTCAAGACGCATTCGATCCAGGATGAAACGCCCTGTGACCCCACGGAAAACCTCATCATCTGTAATTTTACACTAATGAACGAGAATAAACAGGCAGATGTGATCAGTAAGTATGATGATGCCTGGAGAAACTCGTCACATCAATCGTTACATGCTGTAAATAAAACGCAGTCAGGACTACAAAGTGGTAATCCATAAATCAATAGGATTTTGCAGGGAAGCCACAGATAGAATCAATAATGGCACAGTGAAAGAAGGAGTCCAAGTAAGCAGATACAAATCAACATAGAAAAGCTCCTGCTAACAAGTGCTAACAGGTATATTTTAAAATAGGATTTAACTTGGGATTTCACCGTATGAAAAAACCTCAACACAGACCTTTTAGGTCATCTGTAAGTAAAATTAACCACACTGAATAAGTGCCCCAAACACCAACATTTCAACTAAACTAAACTAAAGCTTTTGGTACTTTTGATTCTTTACACGGGCTGCTGTTTGACAAATTTAACGTGAACACCTGTGGTAAAGGGATTAATATATCAAACCATTTTTGCATTTCCATGGATTTGTGTCATGATGAGGGAGATGAATTGTTTATATGGTAAACTCTTTCTTTTGATGGGGTCATGAAAAGAATTAAATCACTACTTGTGTGAGATAAACTTGGATCCCGCTTATTCCTGAGTTGTGAGGTGTTTATATCTAGCATTTAATGTTATAGTATTGCTGATACTGTGAATAGTGAAGGCACGTATATCAGCTGTGACTGAGGGAGGTTAACAGTACCTGACGCCGTAAGCACTCAGCGGCCGGAGGTACCCGACGGATAAGAGTGAGGCCGTCTCTTAAAGGGACAATGACCTTTCAAACAAGGAGGCATTATTAGAATAAAAGTTATCCAACAAACAACTGACTGCAACACGAAAACATTTGAAACTCACCTGCTCTACTCGGGGGTCATTAGACACAAACTGGTTGAACTCGCGAAGGGCCAGTCCATTGCTATCTGTGGTGTCGTTAAGATAAACCCTGGCTTTGAACAGCGAGTTATCGATACATATGACCCCTCCCAATCTGAGCATGTTGTTGTCCATGATAAATTTGTAGTAGTTGATGTAGTTGTTTTTGTCTGCATCGATGAAAACCATGTCGAACTGTTCACCGGCGGTGGCTAATTCCTGGAACAGAGACAACGTTATTACAAAACTGACCCCATGACCCACAGTTTGTTCACTTATTGACAAAAAGGGTCAGTAGCCTTGGACTGTTCTGATTATGGAACGCATGTGACACGCAGTGAAGGCTAAGTGTTACCTAAAGGTATTTTTAGTTTGCAAAACAGTTCATTGGACCTTCAAAAGGATCCAAAGTTGATTGATTTTTACTCACCTTTAGTGTCTCCATGGCATTTCCAGTCTTGACATTAATCTTTTTACCATGTGGAGACTTATCAAAAATGGGCTGAGCAAACTCTTTAAGGTATGGCTCCAACTCGCAGGCCACTAAGCGCCCGTCCTGTGGTAGCGCTTCAGCCATCGACAGAGCTCCATAGCCAGTGAACATCCCGATCTCTAGGACCCTCTTCGCTTGACTCATGTGGATCAGCATCTTCAGCGTTTGACCTGCCAAAAACAGATCAGAGATCATGTTATCACAATATGACTAAACCAGTAAAAAAGAAAATGGTATGGTTTAAGCAGGACATGTATGAAAGTCCCACCTTCAACGTGTCCAGTGATACATTCCTTGGGAAGCTTGAACATAGTCTTGCCCTCCTTGTGCACTTGATCCCAGTCATGAGAAAAGGTCTTTCTACAATGGAGTGTGATTGAATATGTTAATGCTTATTTCACACAGCAAATGCTTGGTGTGCTTTATGATTATAAGTGAGGACTTACTTATAAAGTTCTGCAAGCGGTTCACTTTCCTGTGTGGTCATTTTCTCCAGGTAGTCATCCAGGCCACTGGCGATGTCCAGAGCCTTCTGCAAGTGGCTTGTCAACTCTTCTGGAACATTCCCACAGGATGCAGCTATGTCCTGGGCTTTAGTTAAAAGGTCCACAATGACTTCCACTGGGGTGTCAGGAACTGGAGGGATGTCATATGTAATGTTACTTAATGATTTCTCCATTCTAGTTTTATTGTCATTTCCTGGTAAAATGATGCATCTCAGAAACTCTGAGTCGATGTTTAATATCAAGTAAATTATTCAGCTGGTTTTAAGAATATCAGAAAATTGAGGTAATGACTAATATGCATTATTCATGCATTATCCTTACAGAAACGTTTTTTTCACTTTCAGCATTTTGTGTTGGAAAAATAATAAATATAACTAAAGAAAAATCAGATAGATCAGGAATACTTTATTGATCTCCAAAAATCTGCAAATTATAGAAAGCATTATATTGTGTATACTTACAGCACAATAAAGTGAATAAATTGAATAGTTTTTAGTGCTAAGTCACAGTTTCTTGCCTATAATGAGTCAGCTGATATCTGCACTCATCAGGCACTTTGGTAAGAACATGTGTTCAACTGCTTATTAATGCAGATATCTAATGAGCCAATTATAGGGCAGCACCTCAGTGCATTAGGGCATGTAGACATGGTCAAGATGATGAAGAACATTTGAATGGGGAAGAAAGGTGAACATGGCATGGTTGCTGATTCCAGACGGGCTGATTTGAGTATCTTAAAAACTGCAGATCTGCTGGGATTTTCTCACACAGCCAACTGTGGGGTTCGCAGACAAGGGCCAGGAAAAGAGAAAACATCTGGTGAGCAGCAGTTCTCTGAGAGAAAATCTCTTGTTAATGTCAGAGGTCAGAGGAGAATGAGCAGACTGCTCAAAGCAGACACTAACTCAAACAACCACTTGTTTACAACTAAGGCATGCAGAAGAGCATCTCTGAGTGGGATGCGCTGTAACGGGTGATACATCACAGATGCAAATCTATCATATTAATATGAACCAAAATGTGTGACTGATGTTTCCAGCTGTTGTTCAATCTATGCCAATAAGAATGAAGGCAGTTCTCAGGGGAAAAGCATGTCCCACAATAATCCTAATAAAGTGTTGCCCCAGTGTGTAAAGAACTACCTGAATTATTCAAATTATTAAAAAGTTTTAACAGGGACCTCCCAATAAAAATAAGCAGTTTCACTTTTATACTTTAATACTGCACGTGTTAATATTTCAGGAAAACATTCCGCCTTTTATTCAACTGCCTTATGCACACAAAGTTAACATAACATTGAGAATTAAAATTGTGCATATGACACCAGCACACTAACGCATTATAGCGTAGTTTAATACACAAGTAATACAAATATGCACCGTTTATAGAACTGTTCTGCCACATATACGTTGTTCACGTGCCTGTGTTAATATATCTTTTAAAATCTTAAAACTTACAGTACCGTTGAGACTTGAGATATCGATTTATCAGAACGGGAGTAAAAAAAATGGCAATAGTCTTACCTTTTTCGGTTGACATGCTTCCGTTTTATGGGCGTGACGCTTTTACCGAGTAGAGGACGCTGATCTGTACATGCGGAGGTAGCTGAAGTTTCAGTTATATCACCAAAACTAGTTAATTGTTAGGTAAGGCGGAGAGACTGGCTTACACAACAACGACTCTTCATTATTCAACTGGTTCTGGCACGTGACAGCGGCTCCTGCCTGCCTCCGACCAGTGTCTGAACGCTGGTTGTCAAACAGCTTTCCCAGCTCAGGGTGTCACTCTCTCTGAGAAGAAGCTGGTGACCGAATGAGTGGGTGGGTGGAAGAGGGGGGGCCGTCAGTGAGCCAGTTTGTGGGAGGGCCTGAAATGTCTGAAGTTCCTGAAATGATTCTGGCTATTTATGGCTGACTGCGATCCAAGAAGAGAGCAAAACTCCAACCAGTACCATTAGCCACACGTGTGTGTGAGATATAGATAAATATATAGATACTACCTTACTTTTCCTTTACTTTACTTACATTACTTCCTTACAGCTGCAGCAAAAAGAATACAAATTGTGTACTCTACAATAGAAAAAGCAATGTAAAAGGTACCACAGGACCATACTGAATGCCTTATTATGTGGAATTCTATATGGAAGCGTTATAAAATAAGCTAATACCATACAATACTAAGTTTAAAGCACTTTAAAACAGCTACACCAGATACAGATAAGTGAATAAATACATTGAAAACAATTTTTAAAAAAAGTTGATACAAAAACAACAATAAATGCAGCTATAACACAATGAAAACAAACAGTCACAATGTTATAAAAACAAATAAGATCAATGTTTCGCACTGGGTCGAATGCAAGGGAGTTTAAGTTTGTTTTAAAAGTGTTGGTGATTGTCTAATGTGCAGATAAAGCAGATATAGTGAAAAAAGCAATGTCCCTAAAACTTTAGTAACTTTACACTTAAGAGTACCCATGTTAGCTTAAACTAATGCAGAAAGTGGTTTTGAAACACATCCATGATTTTTTTTTCTTTCCCGTGGTCTTTAGCCTGAGGTAAACCAGGTGCTGTGATTCTGAGAACTGTCTTCAGTTTGTCAGATCATCACCTGGGGCGGGCGTGGCACCTTTGAAATGCAATTGAAGAGCCTCATTAGTTTTTTTCGCTCTAGATTTGCTCCGTAAAAGATGAGTTGTCAAGATCAGCCTTTACACAAAGTCTTTTACACGTTGCAACCATTTGACACCAGTGATGATATAAGGCTGACACATGTTCCTCTTCTAGGTTTCGTAACGTTCCACTCTGTTACAGCAGCAGTGCAAATAATGCTAAAGTTTATCTTCAAGGATCTGCACACAGCCTTTTGTTGGAGCAGTTTGACTACAAGTGCAACAAGTTAAGCCCTGGTGAAGTGAGTTTAGGTTAAGTGCAGTGTAAATGTTGGGGGCCACACTGTGAACACACATTCAGCCTTTTATTAGCTGGCTTGTAAAAAATGTAAAACCCTAGTCAGAGATAAGGCATATAAAGATGTTACAGATCATCAAACGACTTTTAATAATAGACAAAAAGAATCACATGATTAAATACTAAAGTTTTAATTATTAAGGGGGGAAAAAGCTATCCAAACCTACCTGACTCTGTATAAAAGAGCACCCTGTAATCAACCATTAGTGATACCTGGCGCCGAGTCTTGCACATTGCTGTGGATGACTGTTTTAAACGAGAATGGTGTGTTTAAGGTCACACCAAAGCATCTCAATTTAAATTTAGACCTCATTGCATGAACTGAATCTCCTTCAGGACTTTCTGGTAGAGAGCAGAATTAATGGCTCCGTCAATTACAGCAAGTTGATAAAGTCCTGAAGCTGCCTATCAGCCTCAGACCACTTTTTCCCCAAATTTTTGTCATCAGGATGCTTTTAAGATGTATTTATATCTGGTTATAAGCTTTTGCTAATGCTCTTGTACAATGCTGAAATTGCAAGTATACATCCGTAGATTATAAAAGTGATCAGGCTTTTTTATCGTCAACAATACCCGTCCAATCAGTGAAACTGATGGGGGGTTTTCTAATCTGGTGACAAACTAAGGCGATTTCTACATATCGTTTACTAGACAATACAGCAGTAACCTTTAGTGTTTAAATGTATGCACTGTAACTGTATGCAGATGTAAATAAAGTTGCGCTTTGCATTTAGCTACCACAACAGAAGAGGAGCAAATATAAATGCAAAGAGCAAAGTGGCATTAAAATAATTTGAAACGAAACTTTTCAAACAGCTCAAAACATCATCAAACAAAGTGTTTGTGTGCAGTTTGTTACACAGTGTATCTGTGAGCTAAATGTACAGTTGCTGTAGTTCCTACTAACTAAAAAAATTTTATTGTGTGACCCCCGACAGAAGGAGAAAGATATAAGATGGGTACAGGACAGAAGAGGAAGAAGTGAGATCATTTTCAAAGGTAAGGACTGCTCAGCAAGAGGAATAAAATAATCTGTAAACATAAATCCTACTTATAACATTCTAAGTCATTTCAAACCTTTTAAAACAGATATCAGATCTATTCATGATGTATTGCCAAATTAGGTTTTTGTGAAGGGTTTT